CCCCCCCCCTGCCCCACCCTGCCCCACAGCCCTTTGGGGCGCACTGGCTTGACCCCTGCCCTAGCACCCCCTGCTGCCCGGGTGCGTCTCACCAGCCCTGCCGCCCCCAGACGGCCGACATGGGGCTGACGGAGAACATCGGGGAGAGCGGGCTGTGCTTCGAGCTGTGGTTCCGGCGAGGCCGGCTGCGAGACGCGTATACGCTACAGGCCCCCTCGCCCGCTGTCAAGCACCAGTGGACCGGTGCCGTGGCGCAGCTGCTGTGGAACCAGGCCACGCTCAGCAAAGGTAGGCTGGGCACTGGGGCAGCGCGTGGGCTGGGAGCCAGGTGATGGAGGGGCTAGCTCTGGGAACTAGCTCGGGGGAAGGGGAGCAGGCGCAGGGTTCCCTGTGAGCCGAGCGCTTGGGCGGCCACACAGGAAAGATTCAGCTGACACCCAGCTGATTGGCAGAGCACCCACAGTGTGTCTCAGCCAGCAGCAGGTGTTTCTATTGGTGGTGCACATCTACACATGGCGTGGTGCACCAAAAACATTTATTCCACACAAGCATGGAAAAAGTTAGATGGAACATTGGTCGGCGGGTGGGGTTGATGAGGGACATGCCCCTTGGTGTGACGCATGCGGGCCCAGCTGGGCTGCCGAGGGGAGGGGGGCTGGAGTGCGGGGGGGTCAGCCTGTGGGCAGCTTGGGGGCAGGGCAGGGAGTGTGCATGGCCTGATGGGGAGGGGTCCTTCGAGCGTCTCTCTGCAAGTGGGTGGGAGGGTCAGTCTCCCCTCTGCTCTCACCCCCTCTCTCTGCAGCTGCCTGCACCCGGGCCCCAGTGGTCGTCTCTTCCTTCAGCCCATGCTCTCCCCCGGCCGCCACATCTTACCCCACCCCTGGGCCCACTCTGCTCTGCCAGCCCCGGGTCCCCAGCGGGGCGCGGCCCCAGAGCCTGCTCGCTGCCCGGGCACCTCGAGGAGGAGGAGGAGGACTGGGCCCTGGACGTGAAGCACATCCCCTGCGGTGAGTCGCCAGGAGTCAGGGGCTGCAGGGACAGGTGGCTGGTCCCTGGCATTTGGGACGTGGCTGGCCGTGGGGCTCTGGGAGAGGGGACGTGGATGGCTGGCTCTGGGGGACACGTGGTTCCGTGTGGGCCTCACCGCCCCCCGGTTCTCTTGCAGTGTCCGAGATGGTGGCTGGCACACGAGCTGCTAGTGCGCAGGGGCAGCGGAGCCCGGAGGCATCGGGGAGCTCTGCCCTAGTGAGTATGCGGGGGCGCAGCAGGGTCTGTGGGGCTCTCTGGGCTCCATGTCAGGTCCCACTCCCAGGGCAAGGGCAGTGCTGCAGAACGGTCCGTCCACCCAGCGCTCAGGGGTGCTGCTGGCCATGTCTGTGCACGCGTGTGTCTGGCCCAGTCTGTCCATGCACGGCTGGATGTGTCTGGTCATTACAGGCTTGCCTGGCCCATGGCCAAAGTGGGCAGCTGTGCCGGCAGGGCCCAGAGGGGTCCCAGGCTGGTTCCCCCGCCCTGCCCCTAGCTCAGGGCCTCTGGCACCACAGGGCCCTAGGCCTGTTGTCACCCCAGGGAGTCCCTGGAGAGGTGCCATTTTGGGACTAGGCTGCTCTGCTCTGCTGCCCTCTCTGTCGCATAGGGGTACATTCCTGCCTGCCCTCCCCATGCCATACGTGCACAGTGATCCGTCTCACCCTGCCGTCCTTCCATGTGCTGCCATACGTGCACAGTGATCCGTCTCACCCTGCCGTCCTTCCATGTGCTGCCATACGTGCACAGTGATCCGTCTCACCCTGCCGTCCTTCCATGTGCTGCCATACGTGCACAGTGATCCGTCTCACCCTGCCGTCCTTCCATGTGCTGCCATACGTGCACAGTGATCCGTCTCACCCTGCCGTCCTTCCATGTGCTGCCATACGTGCACAGTGATCCGTCTCACCCTGCCGTCCTTCCATGTGCTGCCATACGTGCACAGTGATCCGTCTCACCCTGCCGTCCTTCCATGTGCTGCCATACGTGCACAGTGATCCGTCTCACCCTGCCGTCCTTCCATGTGCTGCCATACGTGCACAGTGATCCGTCTCACCCTGCCGTCCTTCCATGTGCTGCCATACGTGCACAGTGATCCGTCTCACCCTGCCGTCCTTCCATGTGCTGCCATACGTGCACAGTGATCCGTCTCACCCTGCCGTCCTTCCATGTGCTGCCATACGTGCACAGTGATCCGTCTCACCCTGCCGTCCTTCCATGTGCTGCCATACGTGCACAGTGATCCGTCTCACCCTGCCGTCCTTCCATGTGCTGCCATACGTGCACAGTGATCCGTCTCACCCTGCCGTCCTTCCATGTGCTGCCATACGTGCACAGTGATCCGTCTCACCCTGCCGTCCTTCCATGTGCTGCCATACGTGCACAGTGATCCGTCTCACCCTGCCGTCCTTCCATGTGCTGCCATACGTGCACAGTGATCCGTCTCACCCTGCCGTCCTTCCATGTGCTGCCATACGTGCACAGTGATCCGTCTCACCCTGCCGTCCTTCCATGTGCTGCCATACGTGCACAGTGATCCGTCTCACCCTGCCGTCCTTCCATGTGCTGCCATACGTGCACAGTGATCCGTCTCACCCTGCCGTCCTTCCATGTGCTGCCATACGTGCACAGTGATCCGTCTCACCCTGCCGTCCTTCCATGTGCTGCCATACGTGCACAGTGATCCGTCTCACCCTGCCGTCCTTCCATGTGCTGCCATACGTGCACAGTGATCCGTCTCACCCTGCCGTCCTTCCATGTGCTGCCATACACTCACAGTGATCCCTGTCTCACCCTGCTGTACTTCCATGTGCAACTGCATGCGCACAGTGATCCCTGTCTCACCCTGCTGTACTTCCATGTGCAACTGCATGCGCACAGTGATCCCTGTCTCACCCTGCTGTACTTCCATGTGCAACTGCATGCGCACAGTGATCCCTGTCTCACCCTGCTGTACTTCCATGTGCAACTGCATGCGCACAGTGATCGGCCCAGAGATACCCCCGCTCCTCCCCAGCCTCTGCCACTCCTGCCCTGCTCCGCCCCCTAACCCCTAGCTCCACCTCCCCACTGGCCTAGAGATACCCCCGCTCCTCCCCAGCCTCTGCCACTCCTGCCCTGCTCCGCCCCCTAACCCCTAGCTCCACCTCCCCACTGGCCTAGAGATACCCCCGCTCCTCCCCAGCCTCTGCCACTCCTGCCCTGCTCCGCCCCCTAACCCCTAGCTCCACCTCCCCACTGGCCTAGAGATACCCCCGCTCCTCCCCAGCCTCTGCCACTCCTGCCCTGCTCCGCCCCCTAACCCCTAGCTCCACCTCCCCACTGGCCTAGAGATACCCCCGCTCCTCCCCAGCCTCTGCCACTCCTGCCCTGCTCCGCCCCCTAACCCCTAGCTCCACCTCCCCACTGGCCTAGAGATACCCCCGCTCCTCCCCAGCCTCTGCCACTCCTGCCCTGCTCCGCCCCCTAACCCCTAGCTCCACCTCCCCACTGGCCTAGAGATACCCCCGCTCCTCCCCAGCCTCTGCCACTCCTGCCCTGCTCCGCCCCCTAACCCCTAGCTCCACCTCCCCACTGGCCTAGAGATACCCCCGCTCCTCCCCAGCCTCTGCCACTCCTGCCCTGCTCCGCCCCCTAACCCCTAGCTCCACCTCCCCACTGGCCTAGAGATACCCCCGCTCCTCCCCAGCCTCTGCCGCTCCTGTCCTGTCCTGGCACCCTCACAAATGGTGTTTTATTTGTTTGCCAGAGAGATGGCCACGCCCCCCCTGACCTGGTGACCCCGCTCTGACCATGGCCCCCAGGTACCGGCCAAGTGCACCCCTCCGTCTGTCTGTGTGTCCGTCTGCCCCGCTCCAGCCCATGGGGGGTGCCCCCCCCATGCTGCATCTGTCTGTCTGCCCAGTCCATGTGCCCATCTGCCCCTCCCCGGGCAATCACTCTGCTCGCTCTCTCCACAGAGCTGGGTCTGGAGCTTGCACAGGAAGCTGTTTGCCTCGCGCAGCCGCACGGGGCAGGATCGGAGCATGGAGGCTGCCAGGAACAGGACGGTGTGAGCCTTGGGCACCGCCCACCACACGCGGTGCCCCATGGGGTCAGCCCCTCCCTCTGCATTGACTCCGAGCCTCCGCCCCCAGATCCTGACCTCCCCGCTCCCCCCACATGGGGGCCTTAGCCACTGCCCCATGGATTCTGCCCTTCCTACCCCATAGCCTTTACCCCAGATCCTGCTTTTCCCACCCCCCACCTCATGACTCCTCCTGGTGTTCTCACTCAGCCATTCTTCCACGTGCAAGTGCACGCGCACAGTGATCCCTGTCTCACCCTGCCATCTTTCCATGTGCAACTGCACAATCACAGCAATCCCTGTCTCACCCTGCCGTCCTTCCATGTGCAACTGCACAATCACAGCGCTGCCATACGTGCACAGTGATCCGTCTCACCCTGCCGTCCTTCCATGTGCTGCCATACGTGCACAGTGATCCGTCTCACCCTGCCGTCCTTCCATGTGCTGCCATACGTGCACAGTGATCCGTCTCACCCTGCCGTCCTTCCATGTGCTGCCATACGTGCACAGTGATCCGTCTCACCCTGCCGTCCTTCCATGTGCTGCCATACGTGCACAGTGATCCGTCTCACCCTGCCGTCCTTCCATGTGCTGCCATACGTGCACAGTGATCCGTCTCACCCTGCCGTCCTTCCATGTGCTGCCATACGTGCACAGTGATCCGTCTCACCCTGCCGTCCTTCCATGTGCTGCCATACGTGCACAGTGATCCGTCTCACCCTGCCGTCCTTCCACGTGCAGCCGCACGTGCACAGTGATCCGTCTCACCCTGCCGTCCTTCCATGTGCAACTGCACACTCACAGTGATCCCTGTCTCACCCTGCCGTCCTTCCACGTGCTCCTACACGCCCTGATCCCTGTCTCACCCAGCCATGCCTCCATGTGCTTGCACACACAGACACACACACATATAGGACCCTTTTTGCACCCCCGGCCCACCTGCACTTGTCTGTCTGTGCTCCTGGATCGATCCCCTACCCTCTCCTATCCGGGAGCAGGTGCAGCAGGCACAGAGACCCACCCCACCCACAGTGGGCTGGAGCATCATGGGAATGCTGTACCTGGCAGACTGGAGCACCAGGGGACAGTCCCTACTGGGGATACTGGAGCATCATGGGAAATTCAGTGCAAGGTCGATTGGAGCATTCTGGGACATTCCCTACTGGGGCCTACTGGAGAATTATGGGAAATTCTCTGCCTGCCTGACTGGAGCATCCTGGGACATTCCCTGCTGCGAACATTGGAGCATTATGGGAAATTCTCTGCCTGGCTGCCTCCTGGGGTGTCGGCCATGGAAACTCTGGTGGGCAGGAGCTTTATACAAGTACTACAGAGTGTATAATATACAATATGTTTACCAAGGGAGCCTGGCTAGCAGAGGTGAGGGCTGCAGGTGCCAGGGACCAGAGACCTGCTGGACCTGGCTCGGAGCCAGAGGACTGGCAGGCGGTTGCCCCTTGGGGCCATGAGCTCCTGAGGCCTCCCCCTGACTGTGGGGTGAGGAGCCAGGCTGGCAGGAGCCAGGACGCCAGTCGCTGTATGCCTGCCAGACCATTTATAACCTGCATATGAATAAAGCCGCGTCAGAGGCTGTCTCCCTCTCTGAGCAGAACCCAGCTTTGTGCCAACACCGCCTAGGGGTTAGCTCACCCAGCTGCCCCGCCTTCACCCAGAACGGGGTCTGGAGGCACCCCACACCCAGGAGTGCCACAGCTGCCCCCATCCTCCATGAACTCCTGGGGCTGGAAGGGAACTCGGGAGGCCATTAGCCCAGTCCCCTGTCCTCATGGCGGGACTAAGACCAGCCCTGACAGGTGTGTGTTGGACTTGCCCTACACCTCTCCAGTGATGGAGACTCCACAATCTCCTGTCACCGAGGGATGGGGAGTCCCTGAGCCCTCCCCCACCTGCAGCCAGACAGGACTCCCAGCTGGCAGGGAGAACAGAAGGGCTATTCGGCGACGGGGACACAGCAGAGCACAGACTGGTCAGCGCAGGAACCAAGAGCAGCCAGTACAGCCCCGCTTGGGGAGGGGGACCTAGAGCGGGGGTTCTCTGCACCACAAGTCAGCCCAGAATGGCCCACTCCCGGCTCTGGGTCCCAGGCCCCCAGCCCAGCTCCTACTCTGGCGTCTATCCTGCTTCCTGGCCGAAAGGAGTCACCAGGCTACAAAGAGCACCGACCTCTTGTCTGTGCAGGCAGGCAGCTGGAGTAGCCTCCCCCAGTGGAAGTCACTCCTGAAATTCCCATCCCCATCTAGGAACTGGTGCAGTACCCAGAGAAACTGAGGCACACACATGGGCTTATGTCAAGGCTTTTCCCTCACTCTGGCACGATAGATGCAGAAGTGGGGGCCTGCCGAAGTACCCCAAAACCTTTTCTTTCCAGGCTTTGGTATAAAACGTCTCCCCAAAATCTTAAAAACCGAGATTTTGGGGTAAAAATCTGCTGCCACCACCCAAATAATGATAAGAAAGCCAGGGGAGTGATCACTTGGGAAAGCTCAGCCCTACAGTAAAACCAGGACACACACAAAAATAACACCAGGTTAATAAAAAAGAAAGAGAAAGAACTTTTATCATCACCACAATATTCCTGTTACAAGCATAATGACTGGATGGAAAAGTCACCAATTAATATACTCATGGGGGGATTCCACCATGGGCCAAAACGTAGTTACAAAGGAGAGAAACCCCATTTTTAAATGCACAGCCCTCAGCTCCCCATTCCCAAACACTAAAACCTAATGGGTTTATCTAAACTTTACCCTACTTCCAGAGTCTTTTCTTGGAGAGAGACATTTTGACTGTGTCCCTCAGTAGCTAGAGAGAAACTGCTCAGGGACAAAGGAAAACCCCAAGATTCCTTTGTCCCAGTTTGAAATTCCTACCTACATTTCTATTGGCTGCTGGTTACCTGGTTAGGTAAGGGACATAGTTAACCTCTAGTCCCCAGGCTGCTGGCTAACCCTCATGGGCATGACAGCTTACTATAGGACAGTAACATTTGCAACATAACAAGGTGAATAACATCCCCACTTTGCCACACCTCCCCAGGTAATTAATTGCAGTGTTTAACCACCCTAACAGGAAGCTCTTCCAAATGTCCAACCTAAACCTCACTTGCTGCAGTGTAAGCCCATTGCTTCTTGTCCTGTCCTTAAAGGCCAAGGAGAACAAGTTTTCTCCCTCCTCCTTGTAACACCCTTTTAGATACTTGAACACTGCCACGTCCCCTCTCAGGCTTCTCCTTTCCAAACTAAACAAGCCCAGTTCTTTCAGCCTCCCCTCATCGCTCATGCATTCTAGATCTTCAGTCTTTTTTCTTGTTGCTCTTCTCTGGACCTGCAATTTCCCCACATCTTTCTTGACATGCAGTGCCCGGAACTGGACACAGTACTCCAGCTGAGGCCTAGTCAGTGCAGAGTGGAGCGGAAGAATGACTCCTCGTGTCTTGCTCACAACACGCCTGTTAGTACATCCCAGAATCATGTTGCTTTTTTTGCAACAGCATCACACTGCTGACTCATATTTAGCTTGTGGTCCACTCTGACCCCTAGATCCCTTCCTGCAGGGTGCCTGCCTAGACAGTCGCTTCCCGTTCTGTGTGTGTGAGACTGACTGTTCTGCCAGTGCTTGTTCACATTGACTCCAATCAGGTGTGTGCACACGTCAGGAACTTTTCCTTAGCAGCCCCTGTCAGTCTGGCTGTGGAGTCCCCTGGAATGGCTCCTTCATGGTGCTCAGCCATCTATAACTGTGAACACGATGTGCCCTCCTCCCCCTTCGTTTCCTGCTTTCCATCCGTGGTGGCCTTGGAACAGGGGTCACTTGTGTGCAAGTGCTCCCTCGGCTCCTGCAGCTTCGCTCTGTTTTCAGCGATTAGTGAGTCAGTTTGGAGTCATTATCCTGTCCATCCGCCTGGGGCTGCAGGGCAGGCCAGCAGCCCAGGGGTTAAGGTGCGCACAGGAGAGAATCCTGCCTGAAATACATGGACATCACGGGCTGCCAGGACCTCCTACGGCACGTGGCACTTGTCATTGCAGGCTGAGGAGATAGTCCAGGACGCTGACCTCGCCCCACAGGGCCTGGCGAGAGTGGTCATGCTGCTGATTAACACAACAGTGATATGGCAAACCCCAGCATCCCCCCCTCCCACAGGCAAGGGCATGGAGAGGAGGTGCCTCATGCCACACAAAGAGGAGGAGCACTTCTCCCCAGAGACCCCACTGCCGGGCTGGGACCCCCCAGGAGACGGGCCCAGAGACCCCACTGCCGGGCTGGGACCCCCCAGGAGACGGGCCCAGAGACCCCACTGCCGGGCTGGGACCCCCCAGGAGACGGGCCCAGAGACCCCACTGCCGGGCTGGGACCCCCCAGGAGACGGGCCCAGAGACCCCACTGCCGGGCTGGGACCCCCCAGGAGACGGGCCCAGAGACCCCACTGCCGGGCTGGGACCCCCCAGGAGACGGGCCCAGAGACCCCACTGCCGGGCTGGGACCCCCCAGGAGACGGGCCCAGAGACCCCACTGCCGGGCTGGGACCCCCCAGGAGACGGGCCCAGAGACCCCACTGCCGGGCTGGGACCCCCCAGGAGACGGGCCCAGAGACCCCACTGCCGGGCTGGGACCCCCCAGGAGACGGGCCCAGAGACCCCACTGCCGGGCTGGGACCCCCCAGGAGACGGGCCCAGAGACCCCACTGCCGGGCTGGGACCCCCCAGGAGACGGGCCCAGAGACCCCACTGCCGGGCTGGGACCCCCCAGGAGACGGGCCCAGAGACCCCACTGCCGGGCTGGGACCCCCCAGGAGACGGGCCCAGAGACCCCACTGCCGGGCTGGGACCCCCCAGGAGACGGGCCCAGAGACCCCACTGCCGGGCTGGGACCCCCCAGGAGACGGGCCCAGAGACCCCACTGCCGGGCTGGGACCCCCCAGGAGACGGGCCCAGAGACCCCACTGCCGGGCTGGGACCCCCCAGGAGACGGGCCCAGAGACCCCACTGCCGGGCTGGGACCCCCCAGGAGACGGGCCCAGAGACCCCACTGCCGGGCTGGGACCCCCCAGGAGACGGGCCCAGAGACCCCACTGCCGGGCTGGGACCCCTCCCAGGAGACGGGCCCAGAGACCCACACAAAGAGGAGGAGCACTTCTCCCCACACCCACAGCCGGGGCCTGTGCCCAAGTGGAAGGAAGCTAAAAAGTGAGACCTCGTTGGGTGCAAGGTTTATTCCCTGGGGGCCTGCCCCTGCGAGTAGCTGGAGCCACTGTGCGTGTAACTCCTGGCGTGCCCTGGTTATGTTCCGGGAGCGGCTTCCCACAGACTCCTGTCAGGATTTGGTGG